GCGACGTCAGTTCTACTGGGAAGAAGCAAGAGACTTCTAGAGTGGAAGAGAAGGATTTCAAGATAGCGGAATACAAGATAAGAACTGAAATAGATATTGCAAGTGGCGTGGAGAATGGAGATAAGGACTCGGCCGCTGGGAACGCAGAAGAATTAAAATCAAAAAAAGTCAAAGCAAGTCCGGCTCCGACTGAAATACCCGGGATGATCGTCGAAATGGCAAACCTTCAATAATTATTTTATTTAACTAATTACTTACGAAGAATGGGATAGAAATGATTGTAAAACTGCGAGGATCTTGAATCTCTATGGGCTACGAACGGGAGTAGAAGAGATATTTTCAGATGAACAATGTCTCTTTTGGCATGTTGGAAAGGGCTTAGGATGCGCGGAAGGATATGGAGGTGTTGGATGGGATTAGAGGTTTGGGACTCATTATCCCCGGAATGGGTGTGAAACTACGATGATCTTGGATCTTTATGGGCTACGAACGGGATTGGAAGAGATATTTTCAGACGACCAATGTCTCTTCTGGCATGTTGGAGAGGGCTTAGGACGTGGGAGGATATGGGGGCTGTTGGATGAGATCAAGGGTTCGGGACTCGTTATCTCCGAATTGGGAGATTGGTATAGCAAGGCTCGCGTATGCAGGGTTGCGTCCCTGAATTAGGCCTTCCTTTTATCAGGAACATAAAGAAAGTGCCTACCCGCTACATCACAGGCGTGAGTCTCAAAAATTAGTAGTAGGGCATGTGGCTTGATAAGTCACAATTTAGGCAAACAGATTGAGGTGTAGGACAACCAAGAGAAAGATGAATAAAATAGAATAATGATAGCAAAATAGGAGCATGAAAAGAATTTGAAGAGACCTCTACTTTCTCTAGGGATGTTACGCTGGAACTGGACCTGTTCTTTTGGAATAGGTATGACCTGCCTGTTCCGTGTACCTATTACCAAATATTGGATCTACCTGTTCCAAGTTCGCAGAGCAGGCGCTGTCACGTCACGTGTTTGCTCTAAATCAAAGCCGTTTTCTCGCGTTCACTTTTTTGAAACAGGTTTGAAATAATATATTCTTGCAATGAACCCATGACGTCACATCAAAATTGGTTCAAACCGTTTCAAAATACAATTCAATCCACATTTCAAAACCATTTTCTTGCGCCGAGAAATTATGACGTCCTTGTGAAACTGTTTTAAACAAGTTTTGAAAAATGTTTCAAAACTTTGAGATGCCAGAAGACACCTCTAGTATATTAGTTCAATGAAATAGTAGAATCTACTACACTGGATTGCCACTTCCCAGCATTCGAATCATCAATCGGTGTTCGATTTGATAAAAGACACGTTTATTAACGTTCTAACCTCTAATAATAGCGCTAGCCACCTGTCGGCGACCATGTGAATCACTGAGTTTGACAGGAAATACTTTGGAGCTGGAACAGGTACTTGGAATAGGTTTGTGTTCAGAGCAGGTACAGGTCATACTAGGTACAAGAAAAAGCTATTCCATAACATCTCTAACTCTCTCATCAACCTAAACTAAACTGATAACATTTGATTTGAAAAAAAAAAATATTTTACAATTTTTTATTTGCCATATATGTGTATACAACTTTGTATGAGTAAAGTTCTTACATAACTTACAAAATTATTCTCAAGAATCACAAATTTTTTATACAGTTTTATTCTGACAATGATTACATTTTCATCCATCATCTGAGAATTCTACTAACTCTATACACTTGAAATGAAACCATTCTATCTCACAACTATCATTATCGCACCTAATCATGGGTGTACCGTCATCCACTCCTTCACATATACACCAATGTTAGACTTCTGGGGTCGTATTTTCGAAACCATGCGAATTCTTTCGCATGCGATTTAATTCGAATGAAAAATGTCGTGTACGAACTAAAATGCGCATTTTTGAAGACCCTTCGAAAATTATATCGTATACGAGTATTATTTGCGTTGACAACGTCGCAAATTCGAGTATTTGATAATGGCCATTTCGACAGATACAAAAACGAAGAAGATTTTTTGATATCTGACTTTTTAAATGCTGGTATATATCTTGCTGAAATAAATTTCGTGCACCTAATCGTTGGGATTTCCTATTTAGAACATCCTTGCTTTTATAACGTTAATGAACAATCATGGTTTTTGGATGGGGCTCTAAAAGCTCTATCAACTCCAAGGTGAGTAGCTTCGTCAGGCGATATAATTTTCGGAACTAAGTACCTACCTAAACCAATGTTCTTCCAGCGGATCAAGAAAGGGATGTAACAGCCTCTCCCTACGATCTGCCAGTATTTTTGCTTCTTCGAGGGCATCAATAACATTTCTTTCGATTAAATAATCCAAGCTAGCCATTCCAAAAACTGTCTTTTAATAAAGCAGGACAATTTAATTCACAAATTATTTGGAAACGAATGAAAAGTCAAAAGGAGAAGGAACAACGAACACAATTTTGAATTTGAACAACGTATTTAGGTACATAAACAACAAATGTAACGTATATAAACAAAATAAGCACTTCAAAATTGCAAACAGTGCGCAGAATGAATAAAATCGCATGCGAAATGTGAAATTCGACTGGTGGAGACCCACTCGAGTAAACGTACACGAACCAAATCGTGTACGGACCGTTCGAAAGCGATTCGAAAATACGGAAATTCAATTTTCATGCGAATTTCGCCTTATTTCGTATACGAACGGCATTCGAATGGTTTCGAAAATACGACTCCTGTTGAGCCTTCCCCCTGTGCGAAGTATTTACTAAGAATGGAATTTCAATGCTACAGGAAGATTTTTCTTCCAAAAGTCAAAACCGGGTAAGATTCTCGGGACATAAAATATATTAGATGACGAAATTACGAAGTCACAATATTCTAATTCAGCGACAAATATCTGCACCTGTACCTGATAATAATATGCATGATCTTTCTTATGTTGTCCACATTTTCAAGTATTCACTGGTAACCTCGATATCCTCTGTATATAGTAAGTATGGACATACTTAATTTCCAGACAACCTCCATCGCCACATTCACACTATAATATTCTATCTGGGGACGTTCCAAGCTGTGGCCACTCTGGATTCACAACTAGTCCTACATCGTTAGCAACATTCCAATCGTGGTTTTCTTGAAAATATGTCTAATCTTTTTCAGCTGCAATGCCTTCATGTTCTAAGCCTCGAGTTACAGCTTTCGAGATTAGCAGTACCCTGGTTGGATAGCATATAGATTTTATAAGTGATAAAAGTGGACTTTTCTTGTTAGATCTGCACACAGATTTAAATTTGGAAGCAGTTATTCTTCCAGTCCGCTGCAAATACCAGTTATTATCAGCATCTTTTCATTTCATTTCTTGTATGTTTTTCAATCGTAGCAGCTTCCTCTATAGAAAAGTCTATGCCTCCAGAAATTTTCATGAGTTCAACATGGGTTTTGTTTTTCAGTTCCTCGTTGAATAAATTGAATTTGATAGGCAACTTTGTTTAAGCACTAATGGAATGGATTGCATTGCCAAAAGGTTTTACAACTTTCAGTAGACTTGCCGTTTTTCCTAGGCATTGGCCTTCTGAGAATGTTTGATCTGGAATTGGAAAAAAAAGTCCTAAAACTAGAATTATAACAGAGAAAATAAAACAGTCGGGGGGGACAAAATTCAGTCAGTGATTCGTAATTCAGTGTCTCTATCGTATCGTATCGTAATTTAGTCTCTCTATCCAGCGCGTCCTTATGCATATACAATAATGAATAATTTTAATTTTCTAAAAGTTTTTTTGGATTAAAGTGGACACATGATCAGAGAAATGAATAGTCCTTAGTTTTTGCACTTTCTACCAGGGAAAAAGGTGACTCCATTAACTGTTACAAAAAAATCTGGACTTTCACTCACCACAGATTTAGAATTACCATATACTACCAACTGTGTTTTTTTTTTTTCGTTTAAAACTAAGATGTGGACATCAGCAATAGTTGCAATAATCTTAATGTAACTGTTATTTTTGCTGACAGAAGTTACAATTTCAGAAGGAGATAATGAAAAATATATTTTAGTGTCATCGGCATACTGATGGCATTTGCAGTATTTCAAATATTCAGAAAAGTCAGCAGTAAAAACTGAAAATAGAAAGGTCCCAAAATAGATCCCTGAGCCACTCCATGATGTACATAATTTAAACTGGAATAAACATTATCAATACCTACATGATGAGACCTATTAGAAAAATAATTTTTAAAACCTTTTAAAGCCATATCTCCCATCTCAAAATACTTTAGTTTAGTACGTATATAATATATCATGGTTAATAGTATTTTCAACGATTTGCAAAAATCCAATAAAATAATATATCATCGGTAATTTTTAGTAGTGAAGTTTGTAACAGGCCAAAATTGCATAAATAATTCTTACCTACTTTCAATTTTATATTCAAGATTTCCTTAAATTTGTCAACATTTTCTCTATAGAATTTCATCAATAATCTCAACGGTTGTAGATCCTTTAAATTTTCTAATTTTCCATAGTCAAATTCTATTTGCTGTAATGGTTTTTCCTCATTTTAATCCAAATTTTAATTCAATTCTAAATCAAAACAAAGCAATATTTTGATTACCATCGCCACATTCACACTATAATATTCTATCTGGGGACGCTCCAAGCTGTGGCCACTCTGGATTCACAACTAGTCCTACATCTTTAACAACATTAGAATCGTGGTTTTCTTTAAAATATGTCTTTATATACCGGGTGACAACAGAATCGTTATACAAGGCGTCATTCAGTTGTCTTTAAAGTTAAAAAATTGAAAATGGGGTGGAACGGGTAAGTTATTGAGACGCACATTTTTCGTAAAAAAACAATTGAATATCACTTCCGGTTACTCCGGAAATGGACCCAAGTCAAGAAATTTTCATAGAACCCTGTATATTTTTTTGCACAGTTGAATAGAGCTTAAAATTCCCTTTCTAATGACATATCACAACTTGGGCGCCGATTCTATTATACGATTCGAGTCGAATCCGCCATATTAATTCGCTTTTCGAGATTCTGTTATGCGAACTATCGCATAAACTCGAATCGTATTGCTCGACAGGTCGAGAGGTGCCGAATCAAATCGAATTTCGAATGTGTTGACAGTTGATGTAAGTTTTTTGTTTTGAAGTGAAAAGTGAAATAATAATATAACCTCAATATATATATTTTCGAGTCTATTGGTTTATTTTGTGTTATTGACTATTTAATAAATGAAAATAAATTGAAATGGCTTCATTCAAAATAAAAGAATGCCATTGGGAAGTCCTAATGGCATATATGGAAGAGCACAAAGACTTTGCGAACGGGCGGTTCTTAGGACTCCAGGGGCGGGAAACGCAAAGAAAAATGTGGTCGACAATTGCAAACCGGCTGAATGCACTTGGATATGGCGAGAGATCGGCTGAAAAATGGCAAAAAGTAAGTAACTTATGCAATTACACTACAATATACGATAAGGATCTTGGCTTAAAACAACTGCCTGTTCTTGGATTGGATTAAAATTAAAAGCAGGGATTCTAATTATTAGCGTTTCCATTCTAGACTTGGGCGGATTTCAAACACAATTTGAAAAAAAAGGGACAGATGATTAATTCAGACTTGCACGGAACAGGAGGGGGTGGACATTCCTCTGCACCGTTTAATAGTTTTGAATTACGAGCCTTGAACATTTTTGGTGGCAAAACATTTTATGCTGGAGCAGGGAGTACCGAACTTGGTATTTTATCACCAAGTATATCGCAACCAAAAGCAAACACAACACCAGAGTCACTGGATGTCATTGCACTGGATGATGACGATTTGAAGGTACAGTTCATTTGATACCTAGTGGGTTGAAAAATATATAAATCATTGGAGTTATTTCAAGGTCTATTTTTATATATTTGCATTATTAAGGCCAGAGTCACCCAATTCCTTAATTCTTAATATTTGTTACTTATTCTTGATTATTAAAAAGTTGGTTGGTGTTTTTTAATATCGAATTAAGGACAAAAATTAGGAATTAAGGAATTGTGCTCGGATATAGGTAACTGTGGCCTGAATAATTATTCAACAGTGAATAAGACTATAAAAATTAATAATTGTGGCATTATATTTACAGTTTAAAAAGCCAAATACTTCTGCAGAACCGCAACCTTCACCATGGAGAAGTTTCAATAAGGCAAGAGGCATTGTGATGACAAAACAATTCACTTTGTGGTCACAAATTGCGAATTCATTTCAGTAAGTCCTAATCATTGGTCCTAATCGTTCTCATTGGGCAAGTTTGAAGGTCACTAAAAAGTGACAGACATACAATTTGAAAAACAAGTCTGCATCACATTATTTCGGACTTTAGGAGCATTTAGAGCTTCAGCATTTTTTCAACATAATAAAACCAATTCTTTTTATTATAGTAATAAATGGCATTTATTTTCAGACTCTTGCTACCAGAAAGCAAACAACAAGAGTCACAACTGACTATCATGACCATGATTATGAGGGAACCCCTCCCACAAAAAAGAAAAAAGATCATTCAGATGAAGCTTACAGAGAAACCATTGATATATTGAAAGAGATCAAGGAAACAATACACCAAGGACTGAGTGAAATAAAGGAAGTACTGGATAGCAGGCTCCAACAAATTGCTGAAGGTGTAAATTCCGGAAAGTAGTAACGGCAGTAAGGCTAAGTTGGGGTACATTCATATTTTGCTGATGCATTATGGGTGAACCCGAGAATACTTACCAAGCTTTATCTTAGGCATATCGATATCGATTTTAAATTTTGGGGATGTATATCATTCATATTGATGCAGAATTTCAGCCTTAAAACAATTAATTTTCGCTTTTGGTTTGACCGGAAGTGCCATCAACTTCTTTATTTCTAATAGATCAACCCCTTCATTACTATATTTTTGGATTCTACGAAAAATTCTAATCATACTTTATGCATAATATTCTATACTTAACTTTATTAATGGTTCAGGTTGGGTTATAGGATATTATACACTTAAATATGCTTGTAATTTCTCCTGGAATCCAAAAATATATTAAATGAGGTGATCCATCCAAAATAAAGAAGTTGATGGCACTATCCAGTCAATTGTTTTTATGCTGAAATTCTGCATTGACATCAACAATATACATCCTTGAAATTCAAACCGATATCAGTTTCCATGCCTAAGATAGAGCTTGGTAAGTAATCAGTGGTCACCCAAGTTTGTTTGTATGTTTTGTCATAATAATGCCTATGCCTCTTACCTCACTTTACTGCAACTTATCGATGGTGAAGGTTCTGGTTCTGCAGAGGTACTTGGCTTCTTAAACTCTTAATTCTTATAATCTTGTTGAGTTAAATTTAAAATAGATTTTTCAGTGCTTGCTATTATTATGTCAATCTTTTAACAATGCGTACAGACAATAAAAATAAGTCCAATGATTCATACAGTTTTCTGCCTACTAGGTATCAGATGAGTTGTACCTTCACATCATCAGCGTCTAGTGTTGTGTTTGCTTGTGATGTGCTTCAAGAAAAGATTGTTAGATGATTTCAAATTAAAATTTTTGGATAATTGCAATTATTAAATGTGATCATTGGACTTTTAGATTTAGAATAATTATTTTTAATAGGTAGGTATTCGCTTTTGTACTTTCTGACTTTGTACAAGAGTGAGAACCTATAAATATATACAATACTAATAAGTTACAACACAAGGAAGTCACCTTACTCAATTATTGTCACCAAGTAGGTACATCACAAGCAAACACAATACTAGATAATCATGATGTGAAGGTATAACTCATTCGATATCTAGTAGGCAGAAAACTGTATGAATCATTGGACTCATTTTATTGTCTGTCACATCTTTACTTTGTTTCTCACATTAATAACCAATTTGAAACTATTATTAGGTTTGTTTGTTACTTCAACCCTTATTTGTGGGTAGTGTTTTTTCAAATTTAGAATCAATATTTTTGTTACTTACCTACTTACCTTTGCAGTTTGTAGGTGTTTTCGTTAGGTGTTTTGTATAAATGACCTATTTGAAAATAAAATTATGTTTGTTTCTTTAGTCCTTCGTTTGTGATTAGTATTATTTTAAGAATTTTTTTTTTGTTTTGTTACTTATCCTTGCACATTGCAGGAGCGTTGTATAGAATATATTTTTTATTTTTTTATTGTTATTTTGTCTTATGAAATATATAAAGATTTGAGAAATTGTCCTTTTTTATTTCAAGTGAACATTTATTGTATAAAATCTGAAAGCATCACAGTATATAATGATATTACAGTTTCAATATAAGTAATAATTAAAATCTATTTTTTGTAGGTAAGTAGTGGAGAAGAAAATCTAAAGTCTTGACATTGATTCAGTATTTATAGTTAACCCAAACACATCTGTTCAAATGTTTATTTGTCACTCATTTGTAAAACGTCACTTATCAAGTTAAAACATAAACAACAAAAATTGATTTTTACATTTACAAGCTACTGACTTGTTAAAAGGACAGGTAAACTGTAATAGTATATTACAATCTGAGACGGGAAATAATCTATTACTGTCGAGAGATATTACAATTTATCAAGACACATAGTGTCGAGATAAACTATATCTTGAGACAGTAATTAAATTTTTTGTCGAGCATAGTATTACTATTTTATTTTTAACCAAAGTTTTTTGCCAATTCACATTAGAAATAAAATTATTGAATGTGAACGTAGTGTCATGGTATTTGTTTAAGAGCCAGTATTATAAAGCACTGAACCACTGGTTGAATTTCAACCTTCCCTTGAATCCTATCAATTTGCCCGGAGTCAACCAAAGGTTGAAACTCAACCATCGATCGGTTCAGTGTTTATAATACTGACCATAAATGACATAAGACATACTTTCAAAAAACCATAGCAATCTTTGATTGTTTTTTTTTTGAAGACCCGTTATCTTCTGGCTTATTCATTTGTGGAAAAAAAATATATCTTTTACAAATGAGTAACAAATAAATTATTGTACATTATACACCATGTAGCAGTTTTTACTGGCTTTTAAAGGTGACAAGCTGGACTAATGGCTCGCTAGTCATTTCCTTCAATTGCCAGTGAAAACTGTTTTATATACCTGCCTAAGAATGTAAAATACTAATTTTGATCTACTATTTTCAATTACTCACTAATTAAACAATGCTGTTACTTATTTTAAAGATGTAGTACTAATGTTTTTAACATAAACAGCTACACCACAAATGGGCACTCACACTAGTCACACTTACATCTAACATTTATTGGAAGTATCTCTGCACAATATTATTTCTTATGTTGAGAGCTTCAGCATGATTATGATGACGTGGGAGCTGAATTTCTTGTGCTGGTATATGTTCCAAATCTGGTAAAAACTCATAGTCAAAAGGCATATTTGCTTCCACACAAATGTTGTGTAAAACAGCACTGGCTTTGACAATGTTGCACATAAATTGGGGCGAGTAACGTGCAGATCTTTCTCGTAAAATGCATCTGAAACGCATTTTCCACAGACCAATGCACCTCTCAACAGCACTTCTTGCTGATGTGAGAGCACGATTGTATCTAATTTGTGCTTCATTTTCAGGAGCTCTAAAAGGTGTCATTAGATAGGGCTGTAGAGGGTATCCCGAATCTCCTATGAGCCAACTTCTTTCCCTATTTTCAAATATATTTCTCATGAAATTTTGGGCTTGTGATGCATTCCATATAAATGCGTCGTGAGTGGCCCCTCCAAAATTTGCAAACAGACCACGAATTTTTAAATTGTGGTCACAAATAACCTGGACATTTAGGGAATGGTAACCTTTCCTATTGATGTATAACTGTTCATTAAGAGGTGGCTTTAAAATAGCTATGTGGGTACCATCTACCATGCCTACCACTCCTGGAAATCCTGAATGGTGCATTATTTCTTCTTTTATTGAATTTCTTTCATTGAGAGTATTGGGCATAAAAATAAATTGATCAGCAATATTTGCCAATGCTTCTGTAACTTCATGAATACTCCGATGGACTGATGTTTGGCTTAAGCCACTATAAAACTCCTGACCTACACAGCGCTGATAAGAACCAGTAGCGTAAAAGCGTAAAGCTGTTAATATTTTGACCTCGATACTCACTCCTTTCAGAGACTTTCTGTCTACTAGATGAGGACGCAAGATGTCAAATAGGTTTCTTGTTAATGCTTTATTTAACCTAAATAATTCCACAAATCTTTGGTTAGATAAAGAAAATGCATCACTGCGGCTGCGAAGTTCCATTCTTCGATGCATTAGCTTGCGATTTCTTACTGCATTTTCGTTTGCAAGAACTCGATCCCGAACAATTGGCAACATTATAAATAAACTGTCAATAATCAACCGAAAATCAACAATTTAAGTCTCCTAACAGTCCCAACTATTGCTTAGAGGTTTAAGAACAAGTAATAGTACTGGAAGTAGCAAACCAATAACACTTGGTAAATTAAAATTGCAATTAAAAATGCTATAAGAACATAAACAATTTAAAAAGGTTGAAGTTGTTTGGTTTGAGGTTATTTTCTGTGAAAAAAGTTAAAAAAACATTCCCACTTCTAACTTCACTCCATAAGTAAAAGCCGCCGATTGTCAAAACTTTCTTCCGACAACCGAAGAAATCCGATTGAAATTCGATCGTATAATAGAATCGCAAAATACGATCCGATCGTATTCGAAATCGAGTTCAGCGTCGAACTACTCGGAAATTTCGTATCGTGAAATAGAATCCCCCAGCTGGATTTGTTTCTAAGATGGCGGCGTAAGAAGGTATTTTTCTTAAATTCAATATGGCGGCATTCTGACGTAACCGATAATGTTTCTGTCAAACAAACACTTTTAACAATCCATAGTTTTTAGATTTGAAATGGTTTTAGATCGAATTTGAAAAAAAAAAATATTTTGCTCGAAAACAAGGGCATTCCAAAATTTCTTTGAAATGCAAATTTTAGTTTCAAATTTTCTAAAAATTTTGAATAGGAAGAGCTATTTATTAAATTCTAGAATTAAAGTATGTCCAATGGCCTTCCGAAAAATGTCTACCAAAATGCATATTCATTTTTCGGTTAGGTATTCAAAGAAAGGTTAGGTCAGAATGCCGCCATATTGAATTTAAGAAAGTTCCTTCTCACGCCGCCATCTTAAAAACAAATTCCACTTATCATATGTCATTGAAAAGGGAATTTTAAGCTCTATCCAACTGTGTAAAAAAATATACAGGGTTCCATAAAAAATTCTTGACTTGGGTCCATTTCCAAAGTAACCGGAAGTGATATTCAATTGTTTTTTTATGAAAAGTGTGCGTCTCAATGACTTACCCGTTCCAGCCGATTTTCAAATTTTTAAATTTCAAGACAACTGAATGACACTTTGTATAACGATTCCGTTGTCACCCAGTATATGTATATTTTTCAGCTGCAATGCCTAAATGTTCTAAGCCCCAAGTTGCAGCTTTTGAGATGAACAATACCCTGGTTGGATAGCATATAGATTTTATTAGGGATAAAAGTGGACTTTTCTTGTTAGATCTGCACACAAATTTGAATTTGGAAGCAGTTATTCTTCCAGTCCGCTGCAAATACCAGTTATTATCAGCATGCTGGTTTCTTGCATTTTTGCCAATCGCAGAAGCTTCCTCTGT